GTTTTTTTTTATTTTGATATGTAGGATTGTTAGTTTCCTTTGTGGTTACCTTAATATTTACCCCCATTTTTATAAGTTTAAACCAGTCTTTTATTTCTTTATATTGCCTTGACTTCCTCTCCATATGAAAGATCTATGACTACATTATTTAGTCCCTCTTTTTTGTTTTAATGTTGTCATCTTTTACATATTGATGTCTCTCTTTCCCTATTTTCAGTGATTTAGCTTTAATTTATTTTTGTGACTTCCCTAACTGGGTTGATATCTGGTTGCTCTGTCCTGTGTTCTCGTCTTGGGTTGTTATCTGATGTTATTGATTTTCTAACCGGAGGACTCCCTTTAGTATTTCTTGTAATTCTGGTTTTGTGTTTACAAATTCCCTAAACTTCCATTTATCTGGATGTGCCCTAATATCACCATCATATTTGAGAGACAGTTTTGCTAGATATATAGTTTTTGGCTGGCAATTTTTTTTTCCTTCAAGGCTTTATGTATGTTATCCCATTGCCTTCTTGCCTGCACGGTTTCTGCAGGGTAGTCTGAGTTTAGTCTTACTGACTTTCCTTTGTAGATGACTTTTCGTTTATCCCTAGCTGCTCTTAAAATTCTCTCTTTATCTTTAGTTTTGGCAAGTTTGATTATAATATGTCTTGCTTACTTTCTTTTGGGATCTACCTTGTGCGGGGTTCGATGAGCTTCTTGGATAGATATCTTCTCATCTTTCATGATATCAGGGAAGTTTTCTACCAACAAATCTTTGACAATTCTCTCCGTATTTTCTGTTATCCTCCCCCTGTTCTAGTACTCCAATCACACATAGGTTATAGAGTCCCACATAATTATTAGGGTTTCTTCATTTTTTTTAAATTCTTTTGTCTGATTTTTCCTCAAAGAAGTTGGTGTCAAGTGCTTTATCTTCAATCTCACTAATTCTGACTTCCATTGCCTCAATTCTGCTCCTATGACTTTCTATTGAGTTGTCTAATTCTGAAATTTTATTGTTAATCTTTTGGATTTCTGTTTGCTGTCTCTCTATGGATTCTCGCAGCCTGTTAAATTTGTCATTATGCTCTTGTATAACCTTTTTAAGTTCCTCTGTTGCTTTGTCTGTATGTTCCTTGGCTTGTTTTGCATTTTGCCTGATCTCCTTCCTGATCTTTTGAAGAGTTCTGTATATTAATCTTTTGAATTCTACCTCTTCCTCCAGAAGGTTTCTTGAATCTTTCTTTTGATGGCTTGATGATGCCATCATGATCTGCCTCTTTATGTGATTTGATATTGACTGTTGTCTCTGAGCGATCAATAAGTTATTATATTTATTTATTTTATGTTTGCTTACTGTGTTGTAGCTTCTTGTTTCGTTTTGTTTCGATATGCCCAAATAGTCTGGTCATGTGAGCTACTTTGATTATTGGTGTCTTTGAAGCTCTCATGTCTTGTCTCCAGGTGGCTAGAGCTGTTACTAGGTATGTGAGCCCAGGAGTCCATTTACTTTTCTTGTGTGGACTCAGCTCAGGTGTCCAAGTCGTCTTTGACCAAGTGTGTGGTGCAGGCTCTCACCTACAGTCCTAGACGAGCAGGGGTGATTGGAGTAGGCACAGGTATCTGGCTGCAGTAGGGGGTCATGCACTGATCAAGGCAGGGGGCTGACTGCTGCCCCTGAGTTTCTGGGCGAGAGGCAAGTCTCAGTTCCCTAGAGTGCATAGGTAAATAGGTTTTGCCACTGGACTATGGGCACCCAATTCTGTTGGCTATAAGGACGGGGAGTCACCACTTATTCTTGGACCCCTGTCACAGCTGGCTCGGTGAAGTGGGCGGAGCCACCCATCCTCAGGCCTCTGATATGGGTAGGTGAGAACCCTGCTTAATGGGTCCTGTCAAGTGTCACGAATCTGCCACTCCCCCTTATGGCTGATAAAGATGAGAATAGGCTTTAGGTATCTACCCTGTTGTACTGTGCTAATGAGGGCCTATGCTGTTGAAATGGGCCCACACAGGTCTATGCAGTGGTGAAAGGCATTCAAAGTCTGTGGACCCCTTATGCCTGTGTCTAGGCAAAGGGGCTGTGACTGCCCTGAGTTCCTGGCTTAGGGGAGCTGGCAGATTATTTTTTCCTGATTCTTAATTTGTTCCCTCTCCAAAGCCAGGAGAATGGCTCAGGGCATGTGAAGGATCCTGCTTCCAGCCCATGTGGGGAGCATTCGCTGAAGTCGAACCAGGACCCACAGCAGAGTGAGGAAGGGGCCGGTAAATGGGAGAGAGATCCTTCCCAAAAGGGGAGGTTTTTTTGATCCACATAGAAGGTTAGAAGAATGTACTTGTCTTTCGCCAATTGAGCACCACTTCTCACTGGTTCTGGAGGGTTGAGCAGACTCCGCCACTTGGTCTCTCCCAATGTGGAAAATGCGTCCTCAAGCACCACTGCTTGCCTCACCGTGCACACCAAACGATCCAGCTTGTAGGGTGCGGATGCTGGCTAGGTCAGGTCTGGCAACTCCTCGCTGCTTCTGAACCATCTCTCCCTCCGTCTGCCACTCAGTCCAATTCTTCAACTTTGTCTTTGATGTTCAGGACTCCTAGATTGTCATATATAATAACTTGTTTTATCAGATCTTTGTTGTAAGTGGGACCACAAGAAGCATCTGACTACTCCACCATCTTGTCCCTGCCTCCCTCAGGAAAGTTTTCTGGCAACTCAGCTTCCTGAGAACACTTGTTCCTGGCTGCTCAAGGCCCTTCGCAAGTTCACTTTGAAAAATGAAAAAGCAGGACTCTGAGAAAATGGCACACTGGGCAGGTTTTCTCCTGGGGGTGAGGGGTAACGAATAGAAAGACAAACATGGAGCAGAGACTGAAGAAAGCAGGCCTGGGAGAGGGAGGGTGAAGTTGCGCTAACATGATTAGGGGATTAGGGCTGTAGGACACACAATTGCATTGGAAAAAGAGACAGGAGAAAAGTAGAGATCAGGTTTCTTACTGGTATTAGGGCATAGAAAACCCACTCACCACCCTTAGTTCGCTTCTCATAAGGCAGTCATTTTCAAGATCCCCTTCTTTACCCCCTTCCCTCCACTATTATCAAAACACTAACACAAAACCAAAACCTACACACCTACAGATTTTTTTTTCCTTCATGCCATGGTACAAAGATCCAATTATGTTTGATAAATGCAGCCAAGAACATGGAACCCAATGTTTCCTCTTTTTTGTCACACAAATCATGTTGGTTTCATTTATCAAAGCCTGTTGTGGTTGTTGTTAGTTGCCTTTGAGTTGATGCTGACTCATGACAACCTCACGTGTGCAGTGTAGAACTGCTCCATAGGGTTTTCAAGGATGTGACCTTTTGGAAGCAGATCACCATGCCTGTCTTCTGAGGCACCTCAGTGTGGGTTCAAACCGCCAACCTTTCAGCTAGTAGTTGAGCGTTTAACAGTTTGCCCTAAGCCTAGTGGCCCGTTAACATTTCATTTTGCTGAGTGAATTCCTCACTTCTTTCTTTCCCGTCTGATCTTCAGGTCAAGAACCATTTTTGTGTTTTCTTGTTGAAGGTTCCACACTTACACCAAACCAGGACTTTGAGTGCCCACTGGAGACCCATGTGAGCTGGATAACCATCTGTAGTTTTTGCATGGCTACTCTATCCCCAAATCAAACTAATTCAGCCTAGTATACTGTCTTTATTTCAGGCTCCTCAAAGAGCATCTTGGAGAAAAAGAAGTTGAGTTGGCACTCATCTTTGACTCAGTGGTGGAGGCTGACCTGGCGAATTACACCTGCCATGTAGAAAACCGAAATGGACGAAAACATGCCAGCGTTCTGCTGCGTAAAAAGGGTATTTATTTTTCACTATGGTTTGTTTAGCTACCGAGTAGTTATTGAAGTGAAGATAGATATGTTTCCTGGCCCTATTTTATCATTTAGTATAAATTTCTATTAACCTTTTTTGTCTTTTTAAGGAGAAATTTCTGTCTTGCTGTGGTTATTAGTGTAAAATACCTATGAACTTTAATGTCATTAGGAAGTGGATAAATTAAATGGAATATTGTTATGTCTAAATCAAGTGAGATAAAATGTATTTTGATTGTAAGTGTTATGTAAAATTTGATAAACATTAGAATCCCGTATTTTCTCCATATTTCACCTTCCTATATTTTATATTGCTTAAATGAAATGCTAGAGATTTTACTATTGAATCAGAAGTGATGTAATTTTTTATTATAACTAAAAAAATAAATAAAAATAACGAATAGCCCCATATAATATTCTTACAAGTGTTGCCGCATAGATTATAACCGCTATTGCGTGATATGACTCTGTGTTAAGAGGCCTTTAGCAGGTGTATATATTTCTAAATATTTGACATTTATGGAGATCATTCTCTAAAGTTGGTTCCAGATAGAGTGGAAATTGTATATAACGTGCAAACAAAAGAAGCTCTAAATTTACAGATAAAGAAGATAAAAGCAGGTGTAGGAACAATAATCTCAGCAGCTAGAGCAGCTTCTGAGATTGGCTCTTACCTTGCCGTGACTCTTGATTATTGCAGAAGTCTAAATAGTTTCTGTATGTGTGGATCTGGCAAAGGTTTTGTAAATGTAGCAAAACAAATGTTCTCAATCAGTGTTCTTGTTGCCTAGGCTATAGAGCAGTACAAAAGATTCAATCAGCAAGGTAACTAGTTGTACCTCCTGGCCAGGATGGAATTTCTATTTTCCAGTCAACCCTAATACTTGACCTTGACAAGCTGCTCTAGAAGAAGCAGGGAAATGTCATTATTCTTAAAATAATGCTTTTATCTCTCTAGTGCCATTTTTTATTCTGTTAGACTTAATTCTGTCTTAAAATAATAGAGTTTAAGTTTAAAGGAGTCTAATATGGAAAGTGAAGTCAGGAGAACTTTTCTTCAGAGTTGGACATTTTAGGCCTTTATCACACCATAGCCTGGCCTCAGTGGCTACAGTGCTCCCTCCTGGAATACAAGTATGGTTTGTTTTATGGAACAATAACTTCCTAATGTACTGTAAGTCAAGTATTTAAGATGCCCAAAGTGATCATTATGGAGAAGAAACGTGATGAATTCTTTCATAAAGTGAAAAGGCCTTTTGTAAAATGAAAACTCCTAATATATCAGATTATCAGGTTCAGGTTTTCTAAATTCAAGCTACCCCTTACCTATGCACCATCTACCTGCACCTATCCACTTTCTCACTCCCTGATGAGCTATTTGCCAGTGAGTACAACTAACATTTTAGTAAGACGTTCATCCTAAATTTTTTCTTTGGCAGACTAATAATTTGAACTTATGCTAGATAAATTCTGATAATGCTTTTTGCTTCTCTGAACACACTCCGTTTCCCACAAAACAGAGCTATGTCACTGAATCTCTTTATTCCCAGTGCCGCTGCCCCACCCTGACCCCAAACATGTAAAGGAAGCCCTAAAGTGGGATCTCCTAACCTGCCTCCCAACTTATGAGTGAGAGAAACAAACTCGTTATCTCAAGACATTTGCACCTCCCTTCTCTTCAGTCCCTTGGCTTCAGCTGCTATTTTGGCCCATTCTACAGTATCTGTTCTTTGTGTTCACAGCAGAGAAATAGTTTGGTCAAACTAAGAAGGTTAAAAAGAACTGTACTTGTACTTTGCATGCCTAGAAAAAGTCACAACCCCATAAATATTTGTTATTCAGGCTACAGTGATCCTTGTGAAGCATATCCAAGACTCAGCCCAGATAAAATGACTTGCAGCTTCTCAGTCAGGAAATGCCCCTAGAAATATAGGTCCTGCTGAGATGGAAATGGCAGTTGAAAACAGAAGTCAAGAGAAAAGCCAGGTGTCATTTGGGTGATGGCTACTCTGCCCTCTGATTATAGGATAGATGTAACCCTTTCGATGTGACTGCCTGGGCTGAATCAAAGAATAGTGGTTGAGTCACAGGGCCTAGGTCTACAGTTTTTAACTTAAACAGCCATCGTTAGGTAATATCTTTCAGAGACATTTTTATAAAATGGACCCCAAAACCACAAAGGTACTTTTCACACCACGGTTTTCTTCCATAAATTTACTACCGAAAAAGGTGTCTGCTACTTGGGAGTGCAAATTGTTCCTGCTGCTGAAGTTTTCCATCCACCTAATAGCAACTCTACACTGTAAATGACATAGAAATTGCTGAAAAATTCCCATTTGATGACTTTGAAAACAGTTTAAAGCTGTTCTGACCAGAGAGAGAGAGAGAGACCAAAAAATTCACAGCATAAAATGAACATTTTAGAACAGAAAAAAAAAAAATGTTGAATCAAGCCAATCAATGCCCTACAGATGAAAGAGAAGTCAGTTTTCAGAGTAGGAAAAAAACGTATTGCTCTGTCAATTTAACACTGGCTATTAAGAATGTATAATTGATACAAGATGGTGAGAAAACAAGCAAAGATTGCGATATTGCAGCCTCACAGAGGTCTCATAAGCAAGCCTGCCTTATTACCACACACATAGTGGCCTGGGGAGCCACGATCTATATTGAAGCCAGTAGGCACAGCTAATGTGTGGTAGGATTTTTTTTTTTAACCTGAAATTTTGTGGCTTAATTTTCAAAAGGACCACCACTTACAGCAGGCAGGACAAAGATAGATTCCAATATCCTATCCCTAGTCATTATGTGTCCACTCATAATGTTGGCTTATCTACATATTTTTGTCCTTCACAGCAGCCCAACTCCCTTCCTTTTTCCATCCTTCCCCCTGTCTTCTTATTCAGAGAGTGACATTTATTTGTGTCTCTAACATTTCCACTCCATGGCTCTCCTGATTAGCTGTCTTCTCTCTGGCAACCATCATCTCCTCCTTCGCTCTACCTCCTTTCCAAGACCAAATTCCTCCACTCCCCACAAAACTTCACATTCTTCCTATGCTGGACTCCAGGGAGCCTCTCCTTCCTCCCTGGCTACAGTTACAGGATTCTCCAGTACCTGCCAAAGGAGTGTCAGAAATCTGCCTAGTCCTTTTAATTCAGCCTGCTGAATTGTAGTTTATCTTCTTCCCTTGGATCTGAAAGGGAAGAAGGAGACAAAATTCACTGTAAGTCAAGTGTTCTTGGGAAGCATTACCCTCAGTTCTATGGGGGAAAAGGGAGAGGACTTTCTGTTGTTACTTTCCAGGCTAGAGCTTCTAAAGCTGTGGCATAATACGAAGAGCTTTGATTTTATAGTTAGGAGACCTGAGTTCAGTTCCCATCTTGGCCACTTCTTAGGTGTATGATCTTGGGTAGGTGACTTAAGCTACTAAGTCTCAGATTTTTCGTCTATAAATATGGACTAATAATTCTTGCCCTAAAGGATTATTTGGAGAAAAGATAGACAGGTTGAAGTTTTTATTTGTAATATATATATATACATTATTTGTAATATGTTTATACAGTTTATTATAAACTGTATATATAGTGCTAAACAGATCCTAAGTGTTAGATTGAGCCTGACTAATTTTTCTTAAGCACTAAGCCATAAGAGGTGAGGGACATCCCCAGGGAAAGATTGGCTATCTGGTTGTCAAGAGACCTTCAAAAAAGTGGCAGTCTGTCATGGCCAGAAATTTGATTTTGACAGTGCCCCATATGTGATCCATCTGAGGAGACTAACTGATGCCAACCAAACTCACAAGCAGCTGAGGTACAAACTACAATGCCACTCCTTTCTCAGTTTCTAGTTACGTGGTGAGTGGAATTAGTTAAAAAAAAGAGTCACTTGGTAATTATGGATGTTGATTAAAGGGAGGTTAGCTAATCTTATAGACAATTGAATTAATACTATATTGAGACCAATGAAATGTCCCTGTCCCACAGTGAAAAGTATGTCTCGGGTCTGGTGTCTCCCAGATTCAGCATTTCTCTCCTAGACATGGCTAAACTCCTTTGTAGATTCTCCTCTGACTTCCCATTTCTCTAAATTGCATGATATAATCCCCTTTTTTTGATGATATATTTTTAGATTTTTAAAAAAAAAAAAATCACTAATTAAGCTACAGGCAAGTCACTGTTCCCTGAACCTGGCAAAATTGTGTCTCCTTCCATTATGTGTTGATTTAATTGTTCCAAATCTCAGAGTTCTAGTGATGCCCCACTGGAGCAGCCTATGTCTGCTATCAGGTAGCCAATGTTAGCTGAATAGGCCAAGTGATTAGCCTGGATTTCTCATTCTCTTTTAGCCCCATTGGACATATTATATCCCATACATATTATAGTCATTTATTCAAATAAGTAGGGGAAATGGATAAGTTAATTTCCCCTGCTTACCTTGTATTAGATTATGTTCTACTAGGGTTAAATGAAACTGTTAAATCCTGCAAGCTCATTAGATTTTATTTGATTCTGAGAGTAATTTTATGATGCTGTTCCTCTGTAGAAGAATAGGACCTGTGGCCTGCAACGTACTAGATAATAATCTTGATAAGCCAATAAGATAATTTAACAGAAACAACAAAATATTGGCCTTGGACCTAGAATAAGACAGCCCTAATAGTTCCCTGAAACACACTTAAAGCAACAGTATAGATGTTAAAATCTAGATATATTCAAAACAAATTGGGATGTGACTATTACTTTTCAGATGGATTTACTGCTTTCAATAGTATATTATTTGAATCTTTAGAAGAGAATACATTTACAAAAGTTTGATTGATACAAATTTATCAAGAGCAAAGGTACTGTGTTAAACAAGAACCTTCTGGGAAAAAAAGCAGGATGGGTAGTACATCTCAGAGAGTAGAAATGTTGGAATATCCCAACTGTTTCTTATTTAATTACTGTTTTCCTGTTTATTCTATTTGTTCCAGATTTAATCTACAAAATTGAGCTTGCAGGGGGCCTGGGAGCAATCTTCCTCCTGCTTGTACTGCTAGTGATCATCTACAAATGCTACAACATTGAATTGATGCTCTTCTACCGACAGCATTTTGGAGGTGATGAAACTACAGATGGTAGGCTGTCTCCTATTGTTCAAATCCAATTAAAAGATATGAGTTTATGACTATGTAAGAGAATACCCCTATTCTTAGAAAATATACACCAAAGTATTTAGGGGTAAAGGGCTATGACATATTCAACTAACCCTAAAATAGTTCAAAAAAATATTTTTATCTCTCTATTGAGAAAGAGTAAAGGAGAGAAAACATTAACAAACATGAATCTGGGTAAAGGACATATGGGTGGTTCTTTGAAATTTTTTTTGTAATATTCCTGTATGTTTGAAATTTCCAAATAAAATGTTTAACAAGGAAACATTATTAACTGATCAGAAGATAAAACAATTGCTGTTAAGGCTCTTTCCCTTAGTAAGAAAGAAATTAGGAATTAATTCCATTTTTTTCCTCCAGAAAATTCAAATTTAGATACAAATAATTTTTATCCATTCCTGGCATCAAGAAAATAAATAAATCATGCAAGAAACAGATTCAAAGTTATAGAGATACTCCTCATAAAGTCCAAAGGACATCTGGACCCACATATTTTGGACGATTATAACACCATTCTCAAAGGATAGAAATTCAGAATGTGGCTTCTAGTTTTCATGTGTTTGCCATTTATGACCTTTGGAAATCTTACAAATGAAATATATCAATAAAGCATTGTACTCAGCCTTGTTTCTTTGCACATTCAAGAATGATTTGATTTTTTTCAGGAGAATAAATTACCATGTACATAATAAATAGCAATAAGAAATCATGGCATGCCCCTTATGCATAAAATCCTTACCCACAAACTACTGTAAGCCTCAGTAACACGTGTCTGGAGTGCCTGAGGTAAATCAAGATTAAAAAAAAAAAGAAGTCAATTGTAAGTCATTGCTTTAAAAAGACAGATTTAAAAATTAGTTTTCATTGTATGTTAACAGTGACGGTTAGAGCTTTTGTTTTGTTTTGTTTTTTGATGGTCTTGCCTCAAAGGAAAAGAGGTATATGATTTTGCTTTATTTTTGTAGTGATAGATGAAGGGCAGAGGGGTGACTGTAATGTCAAAATTTCTGACTAATTTTTTATTTAGGTCGTATTGTTACTATTATGTAAACAATGATATGACTGTTAGGCTACATTGACTTTTTTTTATTGTACTTCAGGTGAAAGTTTACAGAACAAATAGTTTCTCATGAAATAGTAGTACACATATTGTTTTATGACATTGGTTAACAACCGCAAAACATGTCAAC